GCCTTGTCCCCCCCAGCCCAGAGCATCCTTCATCCTCCGTTCACAGACCTCAGAGGAGAGGAAAACACACATGTGGGCTGTGCGGGTGTTCTTTGCCCTCCTGAGAAACCCCCTGGGTGCCGGGACCCCCAAAAGCGAAGGCTGCTGACCCCCATCAGCGGGGAGAAGCCCAGGGGTCTGCACTGGTCCCTGGGGAGCAGCTTGGCACCGAGCAGCGGGCAGGCAGGGCTCCACACGGGATGGGAGATGTCACAGGGAAGATATATAATATCCATGTTGTTTTGTACAGCATGAGGAATGGTTTACTGGAGCCCTGGCACCCTGAATTTGAACATTCCTGCCAGCAGCCCCTGCCCTCCGTGCTGAAGCGAAGCCAACGCCAGGGTCCTGCTGCAGGACCCCAACACCAGAGCCCGTGCTTTTCCTGCCCCCCAGCAGCCTGTGGTTTCCTATTTATCTACCCCTTCCCCTCCTTCTCTCTTCATCCCTTTCAAACAAAAAAGAAGGAGCACTGGTTCTTTTTACTGAGATATTTTTTAAACAAACAAACAAAAAATTCTCTCAGCTTTTTTTTTTTTTTTTATTTCCTTCCTTGTGGCACAACTGTGTGGAAATTCATGGCAGTAAATGTCATTTTGTTTGCCAAGCTGGAAATACAGTTCAGGAAAATGTATTTTTGAGAGAGACCAGAGATAGCTCATTTGTTCAGGAATGTCGGTATGGTTATTGTTTGGTTGTTATTGGCAGGTTTTCCCCCACAAGTGTTGAGTCTGCACTGCTACAGCCCCGCAGCATCCCCACCCTGCGCTGGGGAGGTTTTATTCTGGTGCTTGGTTTGCTCTGCGAGAAAAGGAAACAGCTCACACGGTTTTAGCTTGAGGTTTGGAGGCCAAGCATCCCCTGAAGGTGGCAGGCTCTCTGCACACCCTGGAGGGCTCAACTCTGGGAAGAGCCACTGCCACCACCAGTTAACCATCTCTTGCTCCTAATCCTACTTTTAAACACCTTGTAAGTGAATCTTTACTTCTGGGACACCTTGTTATCCAGTGTTAGCCCAGAAAATGGCCCGGAGCCACAGTCCCCCCGTTGTTTGAGGGGCTCCTTCTGCTGGGACTCTCCACACCCCATTCAGGATGGTCACCAAACTGTACCCACGCTCAGCTCCTTACAGTAAGAGAAGCAGAAAGGCATCAGCAACAGGTAAGGAGCTGGCTCCTGTTCCCAGCACACGAGCCCGAGTGCCCTGCCCAGCTTTGGTTTCAGATCCCAAAGCTTTTTTCAAACATTAGTGTGAGGACACTGTTCCCTTCCCAAGCCTGGCTTGAACAATCCCCTTCACCACAAGACTTGTGAGGCTTAAACGAGTTGTCAGCATCTTTGAATCCTTTCCTTCTTGGGAGACTGGGCTGCACCCTGTAAAGTGAAAGCCCCGAGCAAAGGATCCTGTTGGGATCGCTGCCTCCAGAGGAGCACAGCCCTCAAAGGGACTGGGAGCACGTTTTCCGTGGCTTTCATGTGGCTGCTTACTCCTCTCCAACCCTCTTCAAGGTCTCTGCTGAATGTCTGCTGTCTGGCATGCTGAAAAACCAGTGGAAATACTTGTTTTTCACTCTGGAACAGGGGAGCGATGCCATGAGAGATGCGATTGCAAATGTTCCTGCCCTGCTTGTCAGCACCAGAGCCACAGTGCGAAGGACTGCTCCTGAGCAGTTTGAACTCCAAGGGCTTACTGGGGTCCCTGAATGCTGCATCATGCCAGTTAAAGGGTAGGAAAAGAGGGATTTTAAGTCTCAGGCTGGAAGCTGTTGTGAGGACAGACAGAATTTCCCCACCAGTTTCTGGTTACCTCCCAAAAAGATCCTGATCCTGCAGGTCCCACTCAGAGTCATGTTTGCAGCCTTGGCACCCAAGGCTGGCTTTGCTCTGGTTCCAGGCTCACTTCAAACTCCATCCAGGTCTAGAGCTAAGTGCTAACAGCTCCCACCAATCTCTGTAATCCCCACCTTCTCCAGGTCCAAACCTCTGGAAAATGTCCTGTATTTGCAGCATTTCCCCCTCCTCCTGAGCCTCTCCAGCTAGTCCCTCTGAAAATTCCAGCTGCCTTTCAGCCATCGAGCTAAGAGGAGATCTCACACATGCAGGAAAGAGCCCGGGGCTCCCTTTTAACACTCCCACTGGCCCGTGCATTCCCTCCACCTCCTTTCCTGATGGCTGCTCCCTTTATCAAGATGGAATGTTCCCAGGTTCCCTGCATGATAGCCATGGGGAGCTGCTGGTTCAAAAAAAATAGCAACTGCCCCTCCCTGCAACTGCCCTGACCTTCCCAGCTCCTGGCTAGGGGCTGAGGGAGCTCTTGGCTGTAAGGGTCTCCTTCCACAGAGAGATGGAGTGCCAAAAAATGCTGACCTCACCTGGGCCTGGCACACCTTCCTCCCTCTCCTCATCCCCCAAATCAACAGTTGAGGGGTTTTTTTTTTGTGGCTAGTACTACTCTGCTTTCAGTCTCTTACAGCCCAGGCAGGTTCTTGATCTCATTGTGCAGCAGTTGGCATTTAAAGGCCCAAGATAAGAAGTTACCCATCACCCCACAAATTCAAATGAACCCCACCAAGATGGAAAAAGCAGCATCTGATCTGTGTCCCAAAAAGCTGTGTTCCATCCACAGGTCTACTGAGGAAGGGGAGGAAGATGAGTACTGCCCACCCAGCCACTCCCAGACTTGGATCAGTGTTTTAGATTTCACGAGTTGATTAGAAACAATCCTTCATGGACTGAGGGTGTACCTACAAGTGGCTTCTCACTTTCTGGTGGTCCAGGCACTGTTCAGTCCTCATCATCTGGACACTGGACCATCTGTCAAGCTCCCATGCAGTTCCACATCACAAAAGCAAAGTGCTGCACACACACAACAGTTCAAATAAGAGTCAGAAACTGACAAAAATGTTTAATATTAGTTTTGAAGAAAAAGTGACCATACTTGCTTAGATGAGAAAATAACGACTATGTGTTTAGTGAGCTCTCCTGCCAACCTGGCAGCCCCCAGCCGGGGCTCTCCACCAAGGCCCAAGCAGAGAGGCTGGCCTCCCCGCAGCTGCTCTCTCAGCGCATGTGACAACGCAAACTCACTTGGGACACAATACACAATTGCCGTGGGAGCTGACGTATGGAAGTTGCGCTCTGAACTGCGTTTGGCTGCTGCTCTCAGGCCATGGCACATATCAGCAGAACTGCAAGAGAAGGGAGTTTAAACCCCGATTAGAAAACCTCACTGCCACGGGGAGTCACGGTTCATGGGTGCTGCCTAGAAAAATACAGAGGTCCAGGTGATGGTCTTGTTTCTGAAGCTGGCAAGGGCTTGGGGATTCTGCAGAGGCGGGGCTCAGGCCCTAGAGCAGGGGCCAAACAGAGCTCCCATTTGAATCTCTCGGCCGTGGCTCTTTGGCACTTGGCAGCAACACTTCTGCTTGCTACTGACCAGATTTCTGCTCATCCCCGAGCTCTGTGCGCAGTATAGAAGAGCAGTTTTAAAATCCTGAATGTCATCACCACCATCTCTAGGGACAGGAGCATGGAAAGCACCATGAAGCTGATCATGGCAGAAGAGGGGATGTGAGGAGGGAGGCAGGGGATGCGAAATTGAGACTTGACCCCAGCTGGAGAGATGGGATGAACCCAGGAGCTCTCGCCTCCGTGCTGCGAGGAAAGATCGCTCTCTAGAGCCGGTCAGCATTTAGCAAGCGCCTCTGAGGGCGGCAGCAAAGCGTCTGCAGCACCATGGGTGCAGCCACCCTAACACCCCTCACTGCCAGTAATATCCTTGGTGCGCTACCTTCCAGCGGTTCCCGCACTCGTTGCACACGACGAAGGTGGTCATGGGCTCATCGGAGCTGCGGGTCTGCACCTAGGGGAGGACACGAGGACAGTGAGATCCAAGCATTGCACGGGGGTCGTGGGTTGCTCCTTGTCCCTCTGGCCACCAGGGATTCATACTGGGGTCACATTGTCAGAAATCAATGAGACACCAAAGTTGGGAGGGCAAAAGGAGCTTCTCTTTTTGTAAAATGAGTCTGGTTATTGTTTTACACACAGATGGACACTCTACACACATCTCATGACCCCTCTCTAGCCTGAGACTACATGGAGTGATATGTTTTGGGCCAGCAGATTTCCCTCCTCACCCCCTCTGCTGCCCATTCCGAGCAGGTGGCTCTGGAGTGGACATACCCACAGCCGGACCCTCCCCGTACTGTCACCCAGGAAAGGATGGAGCCAGCGGTGAGACTACAAAACCCTCAGCCCATCATGCACACACTCGACAGCGACACATAAAAAAGCACTCAAGCCATTCTCTTTTACAGAGCAGTCCTCTGTCCTGGCCTCACAGGAACATGCTCTGTGTTACCAGGTTCTGCACATTTCCAGTCTGGTTTGTATTTGAGCCATTAAGAAATTCCAATATTTAACCCAGATGTGACTGCTGCCTCTGACTGGCTCTTGCCAGAAACACATACTTTGCTAAAGATCAGATTTTCATGGCATTTGAATACCACAAGGCAGATCTGCACTGAAAATACTGGCACTCCCCATGCAAGTCAGCAGAACTATGTCGAGGGGTAATTATGGTGATCTACATGTCTAATTACCCAATATGCAAGAGTCACAGTATTTGCATGATGCAAAATAAGCATGTTTCACAAGCACACTCGTTAGCTAAATTCTGTAATTCTCACCCAACGTTACTGCCTGGTTTTGAATGATTTCATAAATGCCAGGTCATCTACTCGCCACTTGCAACATCTCAGTCACCAAATAGTGATGTCACTGGAAAACTAACTAAAAAAATACAGAAATCTGATATTTCTATTTAGAAGACACTTGTCACCTGCCCCAATTCCAGGCAGTCAGACTCCAATCCGCTACAGGTGGGGACAGAGTCCGATGTGCTGCTGAAGGGAGCGAGACAGCCCAGGCAGTGCCTCCAGCTGACTTACTGGGACGCACTGGGGGAGCAAAGCCTCTCGCCTGAGCCAGCCTGTGGGATGCCAGACTGCTGCTGAGCCAAAGGAAAATCCCCGGTCAGCCGCCTGGCTCTCATCTGTGCTTGCACGTCCCATCCAAGCATACGAAGGAGTTTCACTCAGCACTTGCACACGCAGCTTTGTGCGCACCCACTCGGTAGCAATCGCGTGGTTGCTGGTGCATTTTTGGGTATCTGCACATTCTGAAACACTGACTCACAGCAAAGGCACATTTATCTCCAGATGCCTGGCACAAACATGGGAACTAAAAAGCACTGGTAATGCACAAGGCTTCCAGCAGCTGTCCATTGAGAAGAAAAATCCCCTCTGCCTGCTCACATCACCTCTTCGTTTATTCCTTATGTTTCACCTGTTTTATGTTGTTTGATTTTAAATAAGTTGGGATTTGTCCAGCTGCAGCTTATCTACATTCTTAATTTGCACATTTAATACCATCAACGTGCCCGCCTCGGTTTTTGCAGTCTCCCTCCTCTACACAACCCACTCCTTTGTCTGAATCTCCACTTTCCCAGCACCTGCTTTCAGTGTGCAGCTCTCCTAAGCTGTATAAACAGCACTGCTGTATTTTCAAAAGCTTCCTTGGTGCTGCACAACCCCTGCTCTTGTACAAATGAGCCAAAAAAAGTTACACAAGCTCCAAGGAAAGATGTGTGCAAAACCATTGTGCACATGCAGCACACTTTAGAGAGCCTCGAGTGTACAAAGAGGTTCTCTCCACCAGTAGCAAAATTTGTGCCTGTCATGGAGCAGTAAGAGCTTGTGACTGTGACAGGTCACGTCCTGTGCAGAGGTCAACAGCATGGAGGCTGTAGGAGCAGGAAGACTAACCTGGGTGTAGGTGCAGTTCTTCTTCTTGCATTTCCCACAGGTGAAGAGGTCAGTCTGCGTCCCTCCTGTCTTGGCCATCTGATGCTCCCGGATTGCTTCTTTTGTCATGGCTTTCCTGATCTCTTTCAGCTCATTACTGGCCATTTCCTTTCAAAAAACAAAAGAAATACCATCACATCTGTCCAGTTTTACCACCACACCCACTACAGTGGAAAGAGTCAACAGGACAGGGTGGCCTAACAGATGGGTATTAGGACAGAAAGCCTTTCACTCCTGGTTTCTGTTTCATACCCAGGACCCTGAGATGATCTGGTCCCAACAGACTGCTCTCCACATTGCAAACCCCATTGCTAGCTCACTCCCCATGCACTCTGACAGCAGCAGCTGAGGAATCTGCAACCCTGGCAGCAGACCAGCCCCTTCCTTCAAGCTAAACCACATGGCACATCCCCTGCAAGAAGCAAACTCTGCTCCTCAGGCTTCCTCACCTCCGAAGTCATCACCGCAATCTGCTCAGGGGTAATCGCCCCACACAGCACATTCTTTTTCAGCTCAGGATTTTTGGAGTCCCTCAGATTGGAGATGCGGCTCCTCACTCGATTTTTATATTTCATGTCAGTGTTCTTGACATCTTGGTATATGCGTACATGGCAGTCAAGGAGCCTGCAATCAACCCCGAGGCCTCCAAGCACTTTCTATACTAGTCATGAATAGCAGGGGTGTTACTCGCTGCCAGGACACAGATGAGGGTGCTGGGACCCAACAGCAGTGTCTGCTCTGGGAGGTTAATGCTGGATTTGAGAGTAGTCTTATACAATCCCAGAGTTCAGGGGCTTTCAGTTCTGGCCTGTTCACTGTGCTGGAAATAATCTTTATTTCAGTTATGCTCAGGTTTTTCAACTGCTTCTTCTCTCAGCAAGGTAGTCACAAAACCCTCCAAGCGAGCCCAGCTTCACCTCCTACCCCACAGCCCACAAACCAAGCCAACTCCCAGCTTATCTCAAATTAACACATCACTCTGTCCTTCCCATTGCTTCTGTCTGTATCGGGACACTCTCCTCAACAGGGAAGCACAGGGATGTATCTAGAAGCAGAGCTGAGAGCAGGAAATAGCATTTGGATGGGAAGGACAAACTGGGGATTCCAGTCCATTACAGTATGAACAGGAAGGAAATAACCGTGTCCATCACACCAGCAAGGGGTCTGCCCTGAGCTCCCAGCACCACACTGGTGCTTCATTAGTGACCCAGGACTCAGCCAAGCAGAGCTGGAACCCAGGTCCAAGCCCTGACAAGCAGAGTTGCAGCAGAACATTTATACAAAGACAGACTGTCCCATTTTTCCTCCAAGCACATTAATTTCATGGCCTGGAGGCATGCAGGGCCTTGAGGAAGCCCAGTACAGTAAGGATATATTCTTCAATCTGGGCTGCTATGTGCTCACAGTCGGCGCCAATGGCAATATAGTCATCTGCAAGACAAGAGAAACACGGCGTGAGACTTGCTACCAGGCAAGGTGTCCCCAGGCTCATTATATCCGAGATACAAACCTAGATCATTTGCTATTTTGATTTATACGCTCTTTCCATCAAATGGCATCTTGGCCTTTGCTCTAGCTACCCTTTGACCCTTTTGAAAAGGGCAGTGATGAAAATCGACTGATCCAGTCTCTGCCCTCTGCCCCTCTAGGAGATGGACTGCACTAGAAAAAGCTAACAAGAACCTGGCCCCCAAAACATACAGCTTTCCCATATATTCTTGGTATAGGTGAAATCAAACACAGGGAGGAACCGAGTCTCATCAGAGGTCAGTGTCAACGAGAAGTAGCTCTACTCAGACCAAAAATCTGGCAGGGCCCAAAAGCATACAGCATCAGAGTCAAGCCTTTGATTCTCTTCTCAGCTCAGGACTCTGCCTGTCCTCTCTTTTCACACACTGCTTCTTGCCAATTAAACAGCACCATAGAGAGTGCAATAACTGCCGTGAGTTTGGACACTGGGGATGGGAACCAACACCATAAAGCAGGGAACAGGGATGAGCTTAGCGAAAGGCTCAAGGGGACTATTTCCTAGACTTCAGGGGAAAAGTTTTCTAAGAGTTAATACAAAGTATTTAATGCAGCATGTATATAAGCACATGCGCACACACGAAGGCTAGAAATCAAGCCTTTGTGAACTTCTCCATCTGCCGTCTACATTCCTTGGCTCCAAATTAATAAAACTCTGCAGAGCTTAGACCCCAATTTTCTAAAGGGATCTGCAATTTGGACAAGCATGTGTTCAGCTCGAGGTGCTTAAAATCTGACTTTCAGCGATGCTGAGCACCTGCAGTTGCCGCTCATTTTGGATGGCACAGCCTGAGTGCAAGAGAGACCTGTTCTACCCCAGATCTGCGGAGGATTTAAGGGGCTCCAGTCTGCGAAAGCAGAGGATTCTAAGAGCAGATGGTGACTGGCATAAGCACCATTACCGACAAATTCCATGTACTGAGTTACAGCTTCGTTTTGTGCCCCAAGGGTAAGCAGAGATGACAGCTTCACTTTACAGCAATCAGACAAGACTGAGACCTAGAAAGGGAAGCAAATACCTGCACACCTGAAGATGAAACTTCTGGACAGACCACCCCAGGCTGCAGAGCAGAAGACCCCACAAAACCCCATGTTCTTAACAGCCACCACCTGACACATTGCCATGTGTCTGGCTCAAGCCAGGTCCATGTAAGTGTCAGCCAGTTTGTCAAAGGGGTGACCAGTGACTAGATGGAGCTGATGGCAATAATCCTTTGACAAGGCTGCTCCAGAAGAGCATATCTAGAAGGAGCTGGTGCTGACCTACATGCAGAGGTCTGTCAGAAAGCATTTTAGGCAATGCAGGGCTTCCCCAGCACTTACCATCAGCCTGCAGAGCTGTTGTCAGCATTTGTCTGCATTTGTTGCGGACAGCATCACAGGTGACAGGTGCTGGAGGGAAGGTGGTGATTTTGGGGGTGGTCGGAGTCTTCGGAGGCTCCTGCCTTTTGTTGGAGCTAAAAGAGAAACTTCACCTGTCAGAATGTCTCAGTTCAGGTCACTGAGAGCAGAGAAGAGAGCAGCAGGTATGTGGCCAAGCATCCTGTTAACCATAATACAAAACCAGTCAGGGGAAACCAGTGCAAAGACATGCCCCGAATCAGCATTTAGTGCAACACAGCCACCAGCACCACCAACCCAGACATGAGCTCTCCTGTGGGCTCTGCTGGCTCTAAAATGAGCGTTTAACCCCTGAACCAGGCCTGCCAACCAACTTCTGTTACGGAACACACATCACACCTGCTGGGCATCAAGGGAAAATATTACAAAGCTGTTGGACACCATGAGTAACTCAAACATACTCAGGACATCCTGAGCCCACCAGCACTCTCTCAGTCTGGCAGTGTTGTGCACAGATGCACGGTACTTTATTCCTCTCTCAACTCGCAGGACACAAAGTCCATCACTGCTCTCAGCAGAGAGGGAGCAGAGGCAGCAGTAAGGTTAATCTCAGCAGGTGCTGGAGCTGGTTCCTCATCTCACATCATTTACTACAAAGACATCAGCAACAGGAAAGGAAACAGCTAAACAAAAAAGAGCTCTAGATCTCTGGAGCCAACAAGGAGTGCAGCATGGGGCAGAAACCAGAGAAGCCCACACTAGCCCCTCCAGAAGGAGCTGCTGCGCTAAGGAAAAGAAAATGGCTCCTTCATCTCCAATATTTAAAAAAAAACAGAACAAAGCATAACACATAAGAGGATCTTCCTTTTTCCTGTAGTCTGGACAAGAGTGATTACTCATCTCACAGAAGAGCATCCCTACACAACCACACACGGCTTGCGCAGGTGCCAGGCTAGCAGAGGAGTAATAAATACTGCTTCACTCACAAAAATAACTCCATTTCCACCTGCAAGCAATCATGGGCACAAGCAAGGGAATGCAAACACCTGCTTGCTGTGGCTGACTCAGCCAGGTCATCTGCCCCGGGAGCTGGCTGGAGAGACTGAAGGCACAGAATCACCGCAAGATGCAGGGAGGCTGAATCACCACAGAGGCTGGGCTTGCACACACCGCTGCGAGGTTTGCACGCCAGAGAAGCAACCTCCCTGAGCAGCTCAGCTGGGTCCACACCCACAGCATTGAGGGAGGCATCTTGCCCAAAAAGCCTAACATCTGTGCCTCGAGTTCGTTAGCCCTGCAAATACCGCTGGTAAAAAGATTTGGGCTATTATGATTCCCAGATGACTTAGTAGAGCTTTCTTCCCCCCTCCCTTAAATCTAGGCAGCAGAGCTGCAATTTTTTTCAGCAGAGATTGCTCTGACTTTGGTGTTTGGGCCATTAAATGCACTGTATTTATGGCCAAAACCTGGTAACATTAATGCAGTAAGAGACAGAAGCAAAAAAAGAGAAAACCCAATATTTCACCCATGCCACACTGGCAACATCTCCTTGAAGATCCAAGTGCCTTGACAAATTGCTGTTAAGTTGGGTCACTACTGCCAGTTCTTTGCCATCAAAAATAAATCTGTTATGAACAGGCACTTCCACTACGCTGTCCTGGAAGGGATTACTCAGCCCGCAGAAAACCAGTGCTAACCTGGAAACCTTCTGAATCCGCTGCTGCACAAACTGAGCCAGACAGCTTGAGGGTCTTACCCTAGGAGATCCTGCTGCTGCTCAGTTCAAATCCAGTCTGGCTCTGCAGTGCCTCCAAGCCCACAGATCATCATCAGGGCTACTGGATTTCCGCAGTTCAGAACCTTGCCAGGCTCTTATAAAAAAAGAAGCATCCACCAGTGCACCTTCAGCAAATTGTTCAGCTCAAACCATAGCAGAAGATTAATTTCTTGCTCAGATGACTCTATGAGGAAGGTTTTCTTGCAAGCTTATTGTTTCTCTTCGACCAGCAGCTGAATAAAAACACTTTTTACCAGCTAGTTTGACTGGTCAGCGCTGCATGAGGCTATTAAGGAACAGATTTGTATCCAAACAGCTCAAAACATTCAATAGGATTTACACTGCATATATCATAAAAGAAGAAATAATTTAGCTTGCAAATAATCAATTAGACAATGATCTCCTCCCACCTGGGATGTGCAAATCGCCATCAGGTACTTTTGTGCTTAAGCAGCTGTGCACAAGTCTCAGGCAGCACACACCGGGGTGTATACAGCAAAGCATACACATCTCAGGAATAACTCATCTAAAATCACAGCTGATCATGTTGCAGAAAACAGTTTGGAAAAATGAGACTTCCCAAAGGACAAAGGCAAAAAGCCCAGAAAACATACCTACAATAAAAGGAAAGGCTGAAGGGATTGGAGTGGATTGCAGCAGGGAAGACTTAGAGGAGACGGGTCCTGGAATACTGGAAAATTTGTTACAGAGGACAGCAGGAAAAATCCTCCACTCTTGCTAAAGACAAAAGCATGAAGAAATGGTCTCAACAAGACAGGTTCTGATTGAAAGTAAGTTTCAAATTGTAAAGGTGAGTCATGAATTAGAAGATACTGCCAGGAGCAGCTGTGGAAATGTCTTACCCTGAGGTTTTTTAGGCTTGTCAAAGAAGAGCTTAGAGAAAGGCCTGTTGGGACAGCTTGGGCAGAGGCTGTGCTGTCCTGGGAAGGGGTGGCAGGAGCAGCTTTCCCAAGAGCTCTTCTAACTTCAACTTCTTTCTCTGAGTCTGCAAGCAGTGACACTTACGTCTCCCAGAGCAAAACACTTCATGTGAGCTTACAACCCTGACCTTCACCACATTCAATGCTTAAAAACAGGTGTTTAAACTAAGATTTGCACAGGTAATACTTGATTTTCAGGAAGGTTCTATCTGCAAATTCTATTGACTTAAATATTTAGATGTTTCTTCCCCGGAGGTGGTAAAAAAAAGCTAGACAAGATGCATAGTTATCCCACTTCTGTTAGGTGAAGAGTAAAGACATTTACCTGCACACACACCCATGTAATGCATGCCCTGAGATGACAACTGATCAGTCATGAGTTAGATAAAACAGTCTCCTCAGCCATTCCAGAGACTGCACAGAAAGTTATTCAGCTTTAGAAGTTAGTTTATAATTAGAATAGGTGGGAAACAAGAGCTCAAACACACCTAGAAGACTTATTTCAGGAAATCCTTGTGGTTCACACTGTTCCTCTTAAACAGGAGAAAGAGCTTGTAAATCTACCCAGGCAATAGAAGTTTATACATTAAAAAAAATATTATGTTGGAACAAAATGGTGGCAAAGCAACAGCCAGGGACTGCAGGCAGAACTCTGGGCTGCACGGGGAGAAAATCCCACAGAAGAGCTGAATTCAGGCCACACATCCAAAACCTCCTAATAAAGGCAGTTTAGAGAATCCTGGAAAAGAAAAACCCCATGCTGCCAGAGACAGGGAAACATTAGACATAGCCCATTAAAATGTACTACACTAATGGTCTACAATACTACAGCACAACGGAGTATGCTCTGGATTACAGTAATGCAGCACAGAACTCCGCAGGTGCCAGCTCCACACTGGCTGGCTCAGAGCCCTCAGGTCTCGCAGTGCTAGCTCTCGAGTCACTACAGAGGGATTTCTACATCTGCGTTCCAGAAAGCAAGACAAGTTTCAGGCCAAAAGCTATTCAAGTATTTCTCCCTGACAGAAGAGGAAGTCCTAGCCAAAACCTATCAGACTGAGTGGCTGAAATATCTGAATACAAGCTGATCCCTTTGGTGTCTTGATAGCAGCCTCGTCTGAACCAGCCATCGCACACTGAGCAACTAGTCAGACTCCCTTCACCACAGCCTGGGCTTCAAAGAACAAAGACTTTTCACTGCTAATAAATTTTTTTTTTTTGTCAAAGCAGATTAGTTTATTTTGCAGCACTGGAGAAGAAGCATTCCTGTCTCTGTAAAGAGAGCCTGGCTCACCAGACTGACACCAGGAGCTAGCCACTTCTGGTCTACGCTACACTAATCCATTTGCTTCTGTTTATCCTTCACAACCAAGGGGATGCTTTGCCGTTCAGAAGATGGAGGCTGAATACACACAGAAAGCAAAGAAAAAAAAAGCTGCAGTAGCTACAGCACATCCTCAAGGCACAGGGGAGGGTCAGCAGCACAAACCAGAGAACTCCACTCCACACACCCCACAATAACTGTCTGACAAAGCAAGGAGACTGGGGTTTTGCCTCTCTACCTACAGCCAGGATCCTATTCTGAGGGAAATTACTACGAGCCTCAGCCTTCAAACCAGGCATCCTAGCAGGCCCTGCAGTTTTGCTCACAAAGTGTCTCCTACCACTGTGCCCAGGGGATGCTTCACACTTCCTTCCCTCCAGGCTCTGCATTCCCCAAATTCAATTTTCCAAAGGTGAAATCAGAAGCTTCCCTTTTTCTCTGAACTGCAACACTGCTTCCTGGCTTGAGCAGCACCAGCCAAGGCAGTAATAGGTGATGTCTTCCCCATCAGGAAGAGCCAACAAGTTCTTCCACACAGGCTACTGCCCTTACCTGCAGGGAAAGCTGCCTCCCCTTACCAGTAAGGGCATGCACAAAGGCTCCTACCCATGACTCAGTTCCTACGCTCATCAGCCCTACAACAGATCCTTCCTGTGTCCACACCCTGGGGAAGGCGGTACCAGTCTGCACTTCAGAGTACCAAAGCACCAGCCCTTGAGAGATCTGAGCAAAAACAGAAAAGTAAAGGGTAAAGTGACAATAAAGTGACCAACAGAGACAGGCTGCAAACATGGAAGAGTCTGCAAACCAGCAGGACTACAGCCTTAATACCCTCAATCTTCTGGCAAACTTGGGAAACTGGCTAAAGCACTTAAGGGTCAAACCTACGAAGCACACACCCTCCTGGATCTGAGGCTGAGAGAAGTCTCTCACCTCTGGAACAAAGCTTTAAATCACATTTGTCCCCTCGCCTTTGATGACAGTGGAAACAGGATGCAACGTTCAAGGTATGGCACAGAGCAAGCATGGAGCAGACCTGCCAGAGGGGTGGGCATCAGTCTAGGGTGAAAAGAGGACTTCTGCTGGGACTTGTCAAGGACAAAGAATTTAAATTTTATTATAGTGATGTATCAATCACCCCATCCATTGCTTGAGATTGCAAAATCCAAAAATAGTCTTCAGTCTAAGGAGTTCAAAGCTAGAAACAAAATATATAAAAATGTAACACAAAAAAGAACAGAGGAATGTGTTACTACTAGAAAAATCAACACATAACCAAGAGTAGAAAAGCATGAAATAAGATACAAACAAAATAAAAAACCTCACTAAAGCCACTGTTTATTTCTGTGTTACAGTTTATCAAAAACACCACACAGACCATCTCTGAAGAAGTCTAGACTCCTGGTGTTTCTGACCAGAAATTTGACTACACAACACTCCCAACTCAGACACTTAAAAATAAAAATTAATTTAAGGTGCCATAAGAAAATTCAAATTCTGTAACAGTATCATCTTTGGTTAAAGGGAAGCATTACCTTTGGTCCCTTGAGCTACCAGTGTCCTTCGAGGAAGATGTTGGCAAGGACAGGCTTTTCTTTTTCTCCTCACTTTTTTCCTCAGAAGCATCTATATTCAAAAGAAGAGAAATGGATGCTAAAGGATTCAGAACTGGTCTTTATGCTACAACCCTGCGTATACTAATCAAGGTCTTAATACTACACAGTGTTGGCCTAAGGCAAGTTACTGTTCTCCAAAAAGAATCAGAAGGAAGAATGCCTTTATGGCCCTTCCCCGCTTTCCAGCAGACCTATTACTTGCCTCTAAGTGGAAACTAATTCAAACAAAAGCTTTCCTCAACAAACTAAAAAGCAATCACCTTCCCTGCCTAGGAGATAAGCTTCCTCACCAGACATGCCTCATCACAAAAGTTTCTTTCCTAGACACCCTGGCTGCTGAGTACAGATTAGATCAAGTTCTCTAAAGCACCACTAAAAGCAGCATTTCCAGCCAACACCACCTGAAGGGCCAGTACTGGCTGGTCCTTCTGGGAATACAGCTTCTAGTGTTTCCCAAGTGCTGGTGACAGCCGATAGCACAGCCCTGGAGAGGATTTTCATGACACTGTCTCAGCCTAGCCGATACACATCAGTCCTAACGTAGAAGTGGCAGTCCCAGCCAGGACAGGAACACAGTGCTTCTAACACTCGTTCAGCCCATCACCAAATGAGGAGCAGACTAGAGCCAGCTGCACATTTCACTTCATCTCAAGCACCACATGGCTCTTGCCCATTTTCCACACAGCTGCCCAAAAGATCTGTTTAAAAAAAATAAGGAGTGTTTGATTTTCACACTGGGGTACTTTGACACCAGCACAGAGTGGGAGACACATGGTCTTGTGGCAGGACACAGGCAGAGCTGCCCTCCCAACCTCAACACTGCAGATACCGGATTATTTTATCACAAAGGTAACCGCTGAAGCAGTATTTGTAATCCCTCCATCTGTAATAGTGACATTAGTCTGTGCTATCAGCATTAAGATTTCCCTGACAGAATCATAAGCCTCTGCAGCGTCCATCACCACAAAAGCCTCCCCAGCAGGAAACAATCCATCTGAATTTGTCTACAAGGTGTTAAACGAAGGTCCTTCTTTAAGTCATCACCCAAAATGCATTCCAGCATTTCTCTTTCCAAGTCGTTGCACAAGGTTGACAGCACACGCTGTATTAATGCCACACAGCACACAAGTGGAGGCAGTGGGTTCAGAATGCAGATATTGTTTCTACAAATAATGCTACTAGTTAGTACATGGACAGGGACACGTTAAGAAGAGTCCTGAGGTTTTTAATGCTTTTTCAAGGATGAGCTAGCTAAACAGGAGCTAAATTTAGAGGAATGCACGGTAGTAGGCAAAACTTAAAGACAGAGGGTGCAATTGTAAAGGCTGGTTTGCTAGAATATTCTTTTCAGATCAATACAGAAGCTCTCCTGAGAAACCCAGCCTCCCACAGAAGCCAGCTCCTTCACAAGTTGAATCTGACAGGAACATGCTGATTTTCTTACCTAGAAGTTTTTTCCAAGATTTGATGAGGGACTTGGCAAGCGATATCACTTCTTCATCTGTGCTCTGCTTTCTCAGTGCATTTACTGACATCCCAATGCGGGTGGACTGCAAGTGAGCATTCAAATGAATCATTCAAGAACAAATTTGTTGTTACTAACTGAAATCAGAAATAAGCATGGCAAAGTCAAAGCAATCACCAAGATATGAAGTATCCAAGGACCTGCAGAATGATTAGCTCCTTACAACTTTGAAAGAGATGACACTCTCCAGCTTACTCAAATCAGAAGCTAGACAATCACCCTTCTCTACACACCTGTAAGTGACATCCAAGCTTAGAGTGAAAAATCCAAGCATATCTTAATCTCTGAATTGTGATTCTGTTCACACCTCCCCAGTGTCCTGAATAACACTGTTACAAAGTCCTAAAGAACTTCTCACATGACTGCCCTTTGTGCTTACTACTTTAATCTCATTTTTCCTCTTTTTGAAGCCTAAGAAATTATTTGAGCAGTTACCCACATTTGCCTCATCAGCTGTGCTCCAGTTTCACACAGCACATGGTGGCCCAGAGCTGCCAGTCCACAGCCCATGTTCAGTACTATATTCTGGATTTAATGTTTATTTTGATGCTTTGAGTGAAGTAAGAAGTGAGAGGAAGCCTATTAAGTTTATTTAGACAACATTTTGAACTCATCCAGATGCAGACTTCAGCTTTTTACCCCAACTGCACAACTCACCTGCAGTAAGTCCAAAGTCATAGGCATACTTTTCAGTTCTTTCAGTAAATCCATTGCACCCTCCTGGAGAGGAAGAGAGAAACAGAATGAGGCCTCAGCTTTCAGTGAAGAAATGCAACAGCTTGGGAATAAATTCAGAAAATTGAATTCAAAGGGGAAAACACCAACAAGCCTTCCTTAAAACATCAGCAAGATTAGTGCTGGGATTGCTGTTCCAGACAGACAGATCCTACAATCTGGAGGCACCCGAGATATTGGAATGGGCAAAACAGAAGAGCACTAGAGCACTACAGATTTTTGCTGGTGTATGGTACAACTGCAGCGTTAGCTTATTATCCTTACCCGGCAAGCTTAACCTTTTTAACACCAGAAAAATACACTCTGAATCACAGGTGTCCCCTCAGCACACCACTTGGCTTGCAGGAGTCATCCTACTATCAAAGTCAGTATTTTGGGGGCCCTGATTGATGATATTAGCTCACAAGAACAATTTAGCATAGCTGGAAGAACTTCAGTCACCCCTAAAGCTCAGAATCACTGTCCAGAGCCAGAGCTAAAAGCAACCTCTTTCTACAGCACAAACCTTTCCTAGTTTTCCTATTAATACCCCACTCAGCTCAGAACAAGAGCTGATACCAGGAGCAAAGCCATCAAGCAGTGACGCTGAAGAACTCATCACTTGAAACTTATTATATGAAGTTTCCTTGCATCAGCTCTGCATCCCAGAACCCAGATCCAGAAAAAAATCTGACTAGGCAATCTGTGGATATCTAAAATTGGTAGACACTCAGAGAAATGGCAGGGACAGAAGCAGGAGCCTGCCTTCAGCAGCACTCAGCAGACCACAGCCTGCAGTATACCCATCGCCATTTGGCTGGCTCTTTCCTCCCATCCCCCTGCTCTCAAACAAGGCCTTCTAGTGTTCACAGCTAACAGCTCATTTAAAACACCAGCCACTCCAAGCCCATTTACAGCACAAGACCTACAGAGCCTGTGATTGTGGAGAAGCGAAGCAGGCTGCACTGACAGACCCTGTCCTCAGATCCCATCCTCTCTACGCAGAAGGGCCGCTTCCGATTCATTGCAGGAAGCAATCGGGCTGCCAGTGCCACCCTGCAGAACAGACGCTGAGCAAGCCAAACCAAAGCAGGGTCAAAGCTTTCAGTGTGCACACAAGCAACTCCTGCCAGCATAACCCACACATTACTGTACCCAGAACGAGACTTCCCACTCAGACGGTTTCACACCTTTCCGTTCCTCCAACAGCCAAACGGACCTCATCAAATCCAGCCCTTAACATAGAAAACGACCGGGTGATTCCTGTCTCTGTTATCAGAAGTGAAGCCACTTGGCACAACTGCAGCAAATGGGGATCCATGCAAAAACTAGAGCAACAATCGGGTACTCCAGGCAACCATCCTGCAGGAAGAGTTCGCAAATTAGCCAACATACAATAAATGCACTATGGTTCAGTAGCACATAAAATGCCAACCAAGAGGAAACATTGCATACTGCTCATTTAAGAAGCCACCTCTTTCTCAAGGAAGCTTGGAGGCAAATTTTGCAAAGTTGCTCCTTTCCTATTTCAACAGTGGCGCTGAAAGCCTGCCCTCCATGGGAACAGACATCACAGGCTGCAGTTTAGCCCAAACACACTTTCCTGGGTTGTAACAACAGCTATACAAGTGCCAGCGCTCACCCCTGCCCACGGCTGGCAGAGCAGCCCAGCATCCAAAAGTTCACATGACAACTGCACCCACATACCACATTCCCTAACCCCTTCCCATCCTCACCATCACCTCCCACAGCCCTCCCCAGCCCCAGAAGCCCTCTCCCCCGCCCCAAACACAGATGTACAGCCTACCTCCGTCACAAACCCTCGTCACCCAGCATGGCACTTGGTGTGACACTGTAGTTGTACAAACACCAACTGACATCCCCCAGCAAGCAGGTAAATACTTGCGACTGTCCCCAAAGACCATCACAGGGGTCACAACACACCCTGCGAGACCCCCAGCGCGCAGAGAGGAGCACAGCCAGCCCTCCCCACGCCAAAGGCCACACGAGAGCGAGCCGAAACAGCGCTTGGACAGGGAAGCAAGCGGCAAACCCAGAAGCACTGGGGTTCTCCTGGGGGCACAAGAGAGCCCCAGCCCGGTGCTGGGGGGAGATCCCCTCTCCCAAGGGGATGTGGGAGGAGGGCTGAGGATGAACACCCCCGCA